CCCCCAAAAAAAAAGAAAGACCCCGCTAGCTTGCATTACAAGAACAAAAACAGTTGAAATATTCTTCACAACAACTTATTTTGTGTTCCACAGAAAAAAGAAAGCCTTAAAGGTTTGGAACAACATAATTCTGAATAAATGAGAACCGAATATTCATTTTTAGGTGAACTAACACAACTTTAAATGTGAAGTGTGTAATATCTCTTTGCCATACTCCCTGCATCCCTGCAGGCGCTACTTCATCGAAGCTGGTTTGCGCCCGGCCGGATGCGCTTTTATGCTTTCTGGTGCTTACGTCACCCTGCTCGTGACGTCTCGCTGCTCCATTGAATGGATTTGACACGTGCTTCAGGACGCGGTCACGCAAGGGCGTTCCCAAAGCGATCTCGACGCAGCGTCTCGTTCCGTCGGGGAACCATGGTTACATACGTAACCTAGAGACGTTTTTCCAAACACTCCCAGCACCCCTTTTGCTCTTTCCACTCTGCTTGTCTTCAAAGCAATAAATTCCTTGTAAATAGCTTATTATAGGTAGTGCTGAGCAAAATGCGCACCACTGGTTAAGTCAGACACAAATATCAGACTGCTCAAACAAACAAAGCTCCACATAAGCACAGTGTTTACATTCTATATGAATTGCTTACCTTTAGTTGTCTCTGCACATTAAACTGGGAGAGGAGAAAAAAAGCGCACACTTCACCTTTAATCTTTTTTATTGGTTTTCCTTGTAACAAGCAGCCCCGCGGCCGCACACATACACCCTTTCTCGCTCACGTTTCTGTTTTCTCCGCAGGGATCGGACAGGGTGTTCCAGTGGTGGCTCTGATAGTGGAGGGGGGTCCTAATGTGATCTCTATCGTGCTTGAGTACCTGAGAGACACTCCTCCTGTGCCCGTGGTGGTGTGTGACGGCAGCGGTCGGGCCTCTGACATCCTGGCCTTTGGGCATAAGTACTCAGAGGAGGGCGGGTATGTGAGCTGTATCTTTCTCCACTGTAACAGTACAAGAAGATATGCATTTTCTTTTACATATAGATGAAGATTGAACTGTAGCACAGAATAGAGCGCAACAGTAAGCACCCACTTTTTCAGCAGTTTTTTCCGCATTTATTTTCTCCATAAGCACTTCGAAGACATGAACCAAACCAACCAGCTCTGAGATGAATCACAAATGTTACAGTTACAAAAAGGAATGTGGAATTGGAGATAAAGTAAAGATGTGCCTAATGTTGTTGTTTTTTTTTTATGTTGTTTTTTTATTTTCTAATGAACTAAACAGAACTAATGAACTACTCATCCCATAAAACACTGCAAATTATAGGAAAATTTACATTTTTTATGCTTAAATATTATTTTTTTTATAATATGGAACTATTGATTTATAGCCAATGATTATAATATATATATATATATATTAGATTTCGGCAATTAATGTTGAACAGTTTTTATATGTTAAAAATAATTAACTTTTAATAATTATTATTTAACACATTAATTGTGTTACTTATTTCACTTATTTCAATTAGCACATCAGTTTATTTCACTTCTCCAATTCCTTTGTATGAATATATTGATGATATAAAATGTCAATGTTTCAATGTATTATTAATTACAATTAAATACACCTAATATGATTAATCACATTTTTTTAAACGTTTTTAGCATTTACTGCAAAATATACAAATATATTAATGATATTGTATTTGATCGATGAACTTTACTTAAATTAACTTAACATAATCACAATTAATCTCAGAAACCTGTGTGAGTATTTAGTTAAAATTTCTGTCAATTCACAGACCAAATTTTCACCATTTAATGCAAAATATTTACATTTATACAAAATTCTTAGTTGGTTCATGGCCCTAATGTTTATCAGTTACTATAAAACATTTAAACAGAGACAAAATATATTTGAAAATATACAAAAAGGCCAACTTATGACATTTGCAGTATATTGTGAGGTTACTGCTGAGCTATTTTGCTGCTGTTCTCATTTCTCAAGGATCTCCAAGGACAATTTCTTTTCAGAATTAAGGGTAGCGTAGTTATTTATAGAGAATTTAGATGTTAAACATTTTTATTTATTTATTTATTTTAGATGTTTAATAAAAAAAAAAAAAGAAGTTGTTCAACGTGAGCTGTGGTGGGTCTTTTGTGATTTTGTTCTAATTGCGATTTTAATGTTATCATTAGAAAGCGGTTTGTATGGAGAAAACGAATGTTATTTTTCCTTCCGGAGACCTGCTGTTGCGCTCTGTTGGAATGTTTTCATTGCATAAATGATTTGCTGTGATATCCCAGTCTCATCTTTCTCTCTGACTACATGTTAGAATCATAAACGAATCTTTGAGAGACCAGTTACTAGTCACCATTCAGAAGACGTTTACATGATTTGCACAAATATGTACGTTAATGCTCAGTGGGGTGTCTGATGTGTTGGCAGATGAGTGCAGCATGTGTGTTTGGGAGCTAGACATCTTTAGTCCACAGCATTCATCTCGCATTCATCATACATGCACACAGTTGAGCTCATTGCTTGATCTCCTTTTTTGCTCTCTGTTGCTGTACTTTCCACTAAGGACAAGCCAATGGGAGTAGTTCCATGCTTGATGATTGGAACAAATGCTTACAATTTACAACTGTGATTAGAAAGATGGAGTGAATGTGTGTTAGAGGTGCCTTTGGCAGTCTTTAAAGACAGTCTTTGCCAAACATTTTTCAGAGTAATTATTGTATATTAACAGTTTTATTTGAAGACAGTAACCTAAAAAAGCAGTGTAGGAGTATATAAAATGCATCAGAGTACCCGAGTTTTGTTGCTATGTTCATACTTGTGTACTGTTACGATATATCTAGTATGTTTACTGTGCACAGTACATATGTTTTCTGTATGCATAGAGTACTTACGAGATTTGGCAAAATGTGCATTATACAACAGCTTACAGTTTGAAATGCTATGTCCCATGATGCAATGCGGCTAACTTGATCTTCCGTTTCCAGTTTGATGGATAAACTAGATCTTAGCGTTAACCTCACTTTTTTGTGACTCTTTAATGTATCCTATTGACAAATGCTTGACCAAATTTTTATGAGAAATGCAAAATACTTGTGTATTGTTGCATAATGTGTTTTTTATATAAAAGTATGCAGAATACTCTGCAGTACTCAGCAAGTAGGTAGTATTTCATTCCACTGCCGCAATGCTATTTGCATAAACACATTTGGTTGGATAATGATATCCGAAGTTCATTTAAAATAAAACCTGAGTAGCTGTACAGAACAAACGTGTGCTCGCTTTGGTCTGGTTATGGACTGAAGTCTGCTAACAGACAAATATAGATGACTTTAGAACTCACTGCTGAGATTTGCACAGAGATTCTCTGATGTATTTAGCAGTGCAGCAGAGATTTATCTAAATCAATCGATGGGTTATATAAGAATGCTTAACAGGGCAGTTTTTGGCCACCGAGCTGCTAGTTGACAAGTTTTCATGTTGGTTGTAACTTGAGCTTGTGGGCTATTGCTGATGCCACCATGCATAGGCCTACATTCATTCATATATATTGCATTTAGGTACAAAATATGCCTTGAGGAACATATACGCTGATAAAAATTTCATTCATGTGTGGTATAGCATTTATTTTCTCAAGTTGAGGACATGCTCCATAACTTTATGAATGTTTCATATAATAGATTTTAGAAATATTATAATATATTTGTTTTTGCTTTTCACCACTTTCTTAAAGGGAAAAAAAAAATTGCTCACCCTCTTGTCATTCCAAATACTTTCTCAACAGCATTTACATATAACTAACAAATACTGAACCCTAATAATTTGGCTCCTGATTAGCAAAACCAAAAAAATGTGAGGTAAGAAAAAGAAAAAAGTGCTGAGATATGAGAATAAGCGAATAATGCTTCTACTCGGACGAGCTTGTGTTCTGTGGTGAATCAAGAGCGGGATAATGAGGCCTGTAGGGAGGTGTCTTCATTCAACTCTGTTCCTTTGAAGCACCTGAGCAGATGTTTAACCTGAACCCGACAGGACAGGCTTCCATAACCTCCTGCCTCTCAGTACATGACCTGACTACACCTCTCCAGATTTGGCAAACTACAATTAATTACAACTGTATTAGATTAGATTAGGTTCCTTTCAGGAATTCAGTATTTCTGTTCTGTGTGAGATTAATTGGCACTTGACACATAAAAGAAGCATTATGTCAGTCTTTTGCTTTTCTCTGCAGTAGGCATTCCATCTCTTATTCAGGACTGAACTCCATTCTTAATCTCTTTCCTACTGTGGAGGTCTTTGTTCCTGCAACCAAGGGAGGGATGGTTCAATTAATCAGACTGACAGCCTTTCTGTCTATTTATCGCTCTCATACTGTTTTCCTTGAGCATCTTCCTTGTTTTTCATGTTTCTGATGGCTCAGAGAAGTACTGCTAGTTTTCCCTCCAACCAAAGCATTGCAATAGCCTCTTCTAGGAAACGTTTTAGCTCTTGCTGAGGTGTGTAAAAAGGATTTTAAAGGGCCTTCTATTACACTGAAATAGTTTATTTTGCCATAATGATTAGCTACTCACTAATAAGTACGTGGACATGCAATATTGATTTGAGATGGAATTGTTTTTTTTAGAATTTTGTACACTAAATAAAAAAGTTACAATGTATTAAATTTGCAAATATTAATACTAAAGTACTCTGAAGGTGACGTCACTCGAGTCATGAAACGATATTTAGATTTGATTTTACCGTATGTTGCCGTACTGTAGTAGGCCCTGGGAAATGTCGAACTGCTGGGTTGTGCTTTTGACCAATCAGAACCAAGTATTCCAGAGAACCGTGCGATAATCAGCTGCAAGTAAGCCTTTCATTGGTTGATTTTTCTGTTTGGTTTTAGCATCCCATGGCAATAACCAATAATGTGAGTAGGGGGGCGGGACTTAATTACCAATGGAGGGACTGTCTGGGGAAACTTGCTTGACAACAGTCATTATTTTTCACAGTTTGAAAGAAAGTAGAGTGATGTTTCAGGGGATGATATATTTCTCAGCTGTAGTGATGGGAAGTTCGGATCATTTTATCGACTCGGACCAGTGCACACACACAGCAGTGAACACACACACACTGTGAACACACACCCGGAGCAGTGACGTGACGTGACAGCATTGGTTAGTTAATTTACAAGCTTCCTTACAAACGGGTGCTAGTTATTACGACTCGTTCTTCCCGAGTCACATTAAAGATTCGTTCAAAATGAACGAATTGTTCAAGAACGACCCAACACTACTCAGCTGATGTTGATGGATGGAAAGATGGAGTCACATCCGGCAACATGCCGAATGGGTCAGTGACTACTGACTATATGGGTGAACAAGTGGATGGACAGCTGACAGACAGAGGAACCCCCGGCAGATGTGAGGAACTGTGAGTAGAGCGCTGCAGTAGGATCTAACATGATGTGAAAGCACTGGGCTCGTGGAGGGAGGGCGAGGAAGGAAATTTCGCCCCTGATAAATGAAGATGAATGTTTGCCCATGGGCCTGGGTCACTGATGCATGAAGCAATCCACCGTACAGCGAGAACAGCATTCGCCAGCTCTCCAATGAGCGTTAGATACAGACTTACAGTAAACACCATCTCGTCCTTAACATTCAAATTCATTGCTTCCATCAATTTTACGCAGATGAATCATATTTCAATTTGATTTTAATTAAAAACCATTCCTTGCAGATGTTTTGACTGATTAATAAAACGGGTTGCTGAAGTATCAAACCAGATATTTAGATGAGGTTTAGTATTGACTTGAACTGAGTGTGACCTGAACATTTCCAGGAAGGTTTGATGCCACATGGGAAAAGGCTCTCTTTTTTTAATCTCTGTAAATTTAAATATAGTGTAGAGTTATAAATAGTGCATAACAGGAGAGAAACTCCTTAGCTTTTTTTCCCCCAGTAGCTCCCGCTGGCCATAATTTCACACTTCTCAGTGTAGAGATTACCTTTAACAGCAGGAAGACAAGCCTATGTGATGGACCGGGCTATTTTCACTACTCACTGCAGGGGTTTTTTCTGACTGAGGTGATTTGCCATAACAGACACTTAAGCAGCAGGTCAGTATGCTTTCTTTGATGCACCTGTAGAGGCTGGTGAGGAATGGGGATGGGGAGATCTTAAAGGAATATTCCTGAATATATTTACAATTCTATCGACAGAATGTTGTTGATACCACAGAAAATATATTCAACTCAAGGAAAAACGTGTACGGTGTACATGTATAAAATCAGTGAATAATTTATATAAGACCCACACAGTTCCGTTTTAAACCCTCCAATCAACAAGAACTATATAAACTTATATAGTATAAAATAAGCACATTTTGCCTTAGTGTTTGCAAACTGAGGGACAAGTTGGTGTTATTTTCTATAGTAATGTGACATTGCTGCTAATAAATGTGACCCTGGACCACAAAACCAGTCATAAGGGTCAATTTTTTGAAATAGAGAGTTATACATAGTCTGAAAGCTGAATAAATAAGCTTTCCATTGATGTATGGTTTGTTAGGATAGGACAATATTTGGCCGAGATACAACTATTTGAAAATCTGGAATCTGAGGGTGCAAAAAAATCTAAATATTGAGAAAATTGCCTTTAAAGTTGTCCAAATGAAGTTCTTAGCAATGCATATTACTAATCAAAAATTAAGTTTTAAT